AAGGGGCCGTTTTTTGGAGAGAAACCGCAGCCTGCCCCTTTCTATAAGTGCTCTCTGTCCTCTCTCTCTCTCTGTCTCTCATACCATGTGCACACCGTACTAAATAAATCTCAGAGGAAAAGTCACTATTCATTTACCTTAAAAATAATATTTCTCAACTAATCCAACTATTTCGCTTAAGGACACTTAAATACATTAATAGTTTCACTCTGTTGATAATAGTGTATTGTAGTGAGTTTTAGTCTCACATTGTTTGGGAGAACAAACCTCACACTCCTCTACTTGTATAAATATATGTGCATACTCAATATTCAATTCAAGGGAAATTTACCTAAGATTCTCTCTCTCTCTTACTTTAACATGGTATCAGAGCTAGGGCTATTTCCCTTCCAATAAAATTTTTTTTAACGCTTCTGCGTTCTTTTGCCAAATCTTGGCCTTATTGCTTTGCAGCCGTTTAATGTTTTTTTTTTCTGCCAGATATTTTGGCCTTGTCGCTTTGCGGCCTCTTAACGCGTTTCGCGTTCTCGTTTAAACCTTCGGGTTTTCATTCTAACCTTCGGGTTCTATTTTAACGGCATTACCGTTTCAAGACCGTCTCTCGGTTTCAAATTAACGGCATCGTCGTTTCAAGCCGTCTCTCGGCCTCAAACGAACGGCATTGCCGTTTCGTAGTCAGTAACGGCATCTCGACATCTTAACGTCTCAACATTGCTGTTATGGCTCCTTCAGAGAAGATTCCCAAACCACCTTTGCCCCTCAATGATCAAAGTGACTGGGCAGGGTGGTCCACCATTGTCACCAATGCCTTGCGTAGCGCTGGTTTGCTTGATCATCTCACCAGTACGGGACCAGTTCTACCGTCCATCAGCACTGTTGCTTCATCCAGTACTATTACCTCTGACAGTGGTAATGTCGATCTTCAGACTGCTCATGCTCTCTATATCAAGGAGAGTTCAGAGTGGCAATTGCAGGAATTTCGTGTCATGGATTATCTCACTCGCTGTGTTGGCTCTGGTCTCACTGTCGAGATTGGCTCGCTTCCCTCTGCTCGGGCCATGTGGACTCATCTCACTGAGCGTTTCACTGAGTGCTCGGGTGCACGGGAGGCATATCTTCTGCAACGCATTGCTCTACAACGCAAAGGTAGTTCATCACTACAGTCCCATTTTGGACAAATGCAAGCTTTTTGGACAAAGTTACGCTCCATGCTTCCTGGACGTAATTCCACATATGAAGACTGGCTAGCCTGGTACGAACAGCATGAGGTGCATCAACTGTTTCAGTCCCTTCCTGAATATTCAACTATAGCTGATCAACTACTTCATCAGCCTCAATTTCCGACTTTGGCCTCAGTTATGGGAGCTCTCACTGCTTATGAGACCCGGCAGCAGAAAGCACGACTCAATTTGTCAACAGACACTCCTACCTCTTCACTCGAGACTGTTTTGTCTTTACCTGTCATTGCTCCTGTTATGAATCATACTTCTCCATAGGCTCCCTCTCCACAAGATCGATCTAAGCTCTCTTGCAAATATTGTAAGAAGGAAGGACACCGTATTGAGACATGCTTCAAGCTTCATCCTGAGTTACGTTCCTCAGGTACTGGTCGTGGTCGGCAACCCCCTCAGTCTCAACCCTCTCGTACACCAGGATTGTTGGCCAATGCTATACCTTCTACTACTTCAGACTCTACTATTCAAGCTATTGAAAGTCTTCGCCGTCAACTTGATGCTTTCCAACATATCACCTCTACATCTGCCGCACAACTCTCTGGTATGCATTTTGCTGGTTCTTCAACTAATCCTTCGGTCTCTGGTATGAATGATCCCTGGATTTTTGACTCTGCTTGTTCCTTTCATATGACTTGTAATGCCTCACTTTTATCCTCTGTCTTTACTTCATCCTCTCTTCCTCCTATCTACACAGCTGCTGGACAACCATTGTCCATTACTCAGTATGGCTCTATTACCCCACAAAATGATCCATCTGGTCGTCTAACACTTGGTCCCGTCTATGTGGCTCCACAATTGTGCTTGAATTTAATTTCTATTAGCTCTTTATGCATGGCGGGCCTGTTTGTCTCATTTTCTTCTGATACTTGTATTGTGCAGGATCCACAGACGGGCAAGACGGTTGGGGCGGGTCGTAGGAGGCACAAACTGTATTTTCTGGAATATCTTCACCTTCCAGAGTCCATACGTCCACGTTCTCTTGTTGCTTCTCTTTGTTCGTCAAAACCCTCTACCTCGCTTCCTGCCAATTTATGGCATAGACGACTTGGTCATGTGTGTAATAAAAGGCTGGAGAGTCTTATTCAGTCTGGAGTACTTGGTCCTGTATCATCTAGTTCTAGTATTGAGTCATGTGCTGGTTGCAAATTGGTAAAATTCACTGCTTTACCATTTAAAATGAGTACATCTGTATCCATTTCCTTATTTGATTTAGTACATTCTGATATTTGGGGGCCAACTCCTTTGCCTTCTTCATCTGGCTACTTATATTATGTTAGTTTTATCGACGATTTCTCTCGTTTTACATGGGTTTACCTACTTAAGAATCGCTCTGACGTACTTACTGCTTATCAAGCCTTCACTGCTATGATTTTCACTCAATGGCAATCTCGTATTAAAGTTTTTCGTTCTGATTGTGCCAAAGAGTACCTATCCTCTGCCATGCGCTCTATCATGTCCTCTCATGGGACTATCTTTCAACAGTCATGTCCCTACACTCATGAGCAAAATGGTGTTGCTGAACGCAAACATCGTCATATCCTCGATACTGCCCGATCAATGCTCATTTCTTACTCTGTTCCTCGTCGTTTCTGGGCTGAGGCTATTCTCACCGCGACTCATGCCATTAATATCACTCCATCTAGCTCTCTTTCCGGTGCTACTCCTTATAGTCGTGTTTATACTCATCCTCCCCGTTATGATCTAGTTCGCGTTTTTGGTTGTCGATGTTTTGTTTTTCTGCCATCTCACGAACGTGATAAATTGTCTCCCAGAGCAGTTTCTTGTGTTTATTTAGGAATTAGTTCAGAACATCGAGGTTATCGTTGTTATGATCCCGCAACTCGTCGAGTTCATATATCTCGTCATGTTCAGTTCGAAGAGGATTCTCCATATTATTCTACTTCTGATGACTTTAATTTCCTCCACTCTACCGATCATGCTTCCCCGTCCACTGCATCACCCACTTCTTCACCTCAATTTTCCTTTCGAGATCTCCCTGACATCTCTCCCTCTCCTTCTGTTGACTCTTCCTCACCTGAGTCTTCTCTTACACCATCTAATCCATATCCTGTGGACACAACTCTCACTCCAGAAAATACTGTTGATCTTCATGCACCTGCGCCAGCATCTCCCCCGCCTGAGGTTCCTCTTGCTCTTCGTCGAGGCAAACGCCCACATGTCATGCCTGCCCGGTATGCTTCTGTTACTTCTTATTCACCTATCTTTCATAACTTTCTTGCTGCCATTCATACTATTGTTGAGCCAAAGTCCTTCCAAGAGGCAGTTCAAATTCCAGAGTGGCGACAAGCTATGGCTGAGGAATTTCAAGCATTTCAGCAAACTCATACCTGGGATATTGTTCCCTGTCCTCCTGGGATCTCTCTTGTTGGCAGTAAATGGGTTTATAAGGTCAAGTTTCGTCCTGATGGCACCATTGAACGTCGAAAAGCTCGTTTAGTGGCTAGAGGTTTTACTCAGCAACAAGGTATTGATTATGAGGAGACATTTGCTCCTGTTGCTCAGATGCCCACTGTTCGTACTCTCCTTGCGGTCGCTGCTGCTCATCGTTGGCCCTTATACCAGATGGATGTTAAAAATACTTTTTTTCATGGCTCTTTATCAGAGACCGTATATATGCAACCGCCTCCAGGGTCAAATATTCCTCCGGGACATGTATGTCTCCTTCGTCGTGCTGTTTATAGTCTCAAGCAGGCACCCCGCGCTTGGTTTGAGTGTTTTCGCGATGTCGTGCTCAAAGCGGGCTTTATAGAAAGTCATCAAGATGCTTCTCTGTTTGTTCGCACTACATCGCGCGGCAGAGTTTTATTACTCATCTATGTAGATGATATGATCATTACAGGTGATGATATGGCAGGGGGGAAAAAACCAAAAACTCCGTTGCAACAACAGTTCCACATGAAGGATCTTGGATCTCTTCGGTATTTCCTTGGTCTAGAAATTTCTCAAGGCCCGCGGGGTGTATTACTGTCTCAACAGAAGTATCTCTCAGATATTCTAAATCAAGCTGAGCTAACTGATAATGCAACTGTCGATACTCCACTCCAGCAGAATGTCAAACTTTGCTCTACTGACGGTGAGCCTCTATCTGATCCTACCCGATATCGACATCTTGTTGGCCAGTTGGTCTATTTGTGCATCTCTTGACCATATATCTCTCATGCTGTTGGTATTGTCAGTTAATTTGTTAGTGCTCCACGTTCTGTACACTATGCTATCTTATTACGGATTCTTCGGTACCTCCAGGGTACTAGCACTCGCTCTCTTTTGTTTCCTGCTACATCTAAGTTAGAGCTTTGTGCATATTCTGATGTTGATTGGGCCAGTGATCCAACTACCAGAAAGTCTACCACATGTTATTGTATATTTCTTGGTGATTCCCTTATTTCCTGGCGAAGTAAGAAACAAGATGTTATTGCTCTTTCCAGTACTGAGGCAGAGTATCGTGCAATGTCCACAACAGCTAAAGAGATTATTCATCTTCGTCGCCTTCTCAGTGATTTCGGCATTTCTGTTACGACTCCTACTCCTCTCTACTGTGATAATAAGAGTGCCATCCAGATTGCTAATAATCCATTATTTCATGAAAGGACCAAACATATTGAGATGGACGCTCATTTTGTCCGTCACCAAGTTATCAAGGACAAGACAATTCTACTTCCTCATGTTTCATCCGCTGACGAGCTTGCAGATTTCTTTACAAAGGCCTTACCTGTTCATCGGTTCCAGTT